CGGGAACAACAATCAGTCTGACCGGTGACACACAAAGACAGGAAGTGCAGACACCTGGAAAGATAGAGCAGAGTCATGTCAAAATAAGACAGATAGACAAACACTAAAACCTTACAGTACCCCCCCTTTTACGGACGACTCCAGACGTCCCTGAAACCTGAGACCGTAGTCTGTCAAAATCCGTGATCAGAGTTTTGTCGACAATGAAGCTGCCCGGGATCCAGCATCTTTCCTCTAGTCCATACCCTACCCAGTCGACCAGGAACTGCCTCCCTCTACCCCGCTTTCTTTCTGACAGTATCTTTTCCACTGTATAGACGATACCTCCGTCGATGACCCGAGGAGGTGGAGGTGGTGTGGAGGAGGGAACCAGTCTACTCTCTAAAACTGGTTTCAGCTTGCTGACATGGAACGTGGGGTGGACCTTGAGAGACTTTGGGAGACATAGGCGAACAGCAACAGGATTAATAACCTTTGAAATGGGAAATGGACCAACGAACCGGGGGGCCAGTTTCCTGGAGGCGACATGAAGAGGAAGGTCCTTGGTGGACAACCACACTCGTTGTCCGACCTTGTATCTAGGAGATGGACGTCGTTTTCGGTCGGCCAAACTCTTCATGCGGGTCGCACTTCTCTGCAGCATCTGGCGAACACCCTTCCATACCCGGCGACAGCGGCGAACCAGAGCATGTGCTGATGGTACGGTAACTTCTTGCTCGAGCTCCGGGAACAATGGAGGCTGGTATCCATGGACACATTGGAAAGGAGAGATTCCGGTGGCTGATGTGGGTAAGGTATTGTGTGCATACTCAACCCAGATCAGATGTTTGCTCCAGGTGGTAGGCTTCTGGGACACCAGGCATCTCAGACATGTCTCCATTTCCTGATTCATCCTCTCCGCTTGGCCGTTTGACTGGGGATGGTATCCGGATGTCAGGCTCACAGTGGCTTGGATCAGGCGACAAAACTCCTTCCAGAAACGTGAAACGAATTGTGGGCCTCGGTCTGAAACGACATCACTTGGGAAACCATGTATACGAAAAACATGGGACAACATGGCCTGTGCAGTTTCTTTGGCAGTAGGTAATTTGGACATGGGGATGAGATGTACCATCTTGGAAAAACGATCAATGACTGTGAGTACTGTGGTATTACCTGCCGAAGGTGGAAATCCTGTCACAAAGTCCAACGCAATGTGCGACCATGGTCTGTGGGGAATGGGCAGAGGTTGAAGAAGACCTGCCGCAGCTTGACAAGATGTCTTGTTTCTAGCACACACAGGACAAGCTGCCACATACTCTGCAACATCCTTCCACATAGCAGGCCACCAGAATCTGTGTTTCACCATAAAAAGGGTCCTCTTGGTTCCAGGATGACAGGAAAGGACAGATGTATGGGCCCAATGAATCACCTGAGAACGAAGTGTCCTAGGAACAAACAGGCGATTCTGAGGACAACCTCTATGGACAGGATTCTCTCCATTAGCCTGTTTTACTTTAGCTTCAATGGGCCAGGTCACACTCCCGATCACCCGGTCTGACCGCAGAATGGGTTCTGGAGTCTTGGGAACTGGCTCAGGATCAAAAACTCTGGAGAGAGCGTCCGGTTTCCCGTTCTTAGAACCAGGTCGATAAGACAGAGTGAAGCTAAATCTGTTAAAGAATAAAGCCCACCTGGCTTGTCTGGAGTTCAAGCGCTTTACCCTCCTGATGTACTGCAAGTTTTTATGATCTGTCCATACCAGGAAATACTGCTCCGCTCCCTCCAACCAGTGCCGCCACTCCTCCAAAGCAATCTTCACAGCCAAGAGTTCCCGATTTCCCACGTCGTAATTCCTCTCAGCAGAAGATAGCTTACGGGAGAGATAGGCACACGGATGAAGTTTATTGTCCCCCGCTGACATCTGAGACAGTATAGCTCCAACGCCATCGTTAGAGGCGTCTACTTCCACCACAAACTGTCGGTTGCGATCAGGTACAGCCAATTTGCCACATCGCTGACCTTTGCTGGGTCCATTTCCATCTTGTTAGGGGAAATCACAAAGCCCAAAAATGATACTGAGTTGACATGAAAATCACATTTTTCGGCTTTCACAAACAAATGATTAGCCAGGAGTCTTTGAAGAACAAGATGAACATGGTTAACATGAGTATTCTCATCTGGAGAAAAGATGAGAATATCATCGAGATACACAAAACAGAAAACATTCAGGAAATCTCTTAACACATCGTTAATGAGAGCTTGGAAAACAGCAGGTGCATTACAAAGTCCAAAAGGCATCACCAAATATTCGTAATGTCCCGTAGGTGTATTGAAACCTGTTTTCCACTCATCCCCCTCCCGGATGCGCACAAGGTGATAAGCATTCCTTAGGTCAAGCTTGGTAAATATCTTAGCTCCTTGTAACAGTTCAAATGCCGTAGAGATGAGTGGAAGGGGATATCTGTTCTTAACCGTGATCTGATTTAGCGGACTATAATCAATACAGGGCCTCAATGTCCCGTCCTTTTTTCCCACAAAAAAGAAACCTGCCGCTGCTGGGGATGAAGATGTCCGAATCAACCCAGTCTTGAGTGAAGAATCGATATATGCCTTCATGGCCTCCCTTTCTGGCCCAGAAAGAGAGTACAGCCGTCCCTTGGGAATAGTAGAGCCCGACAGAAGTTCTATGGGACAATCGTACGGTCTATGGGGAGGCAATGAAGTAGCTCGTGTCTTGTTAAACACCTCCTTAATGTCTGAATAGCACCCAGGAACTTTAGACAAGTCAGGAAAGTCAGAAGGTTTAGAAAAAGTGTCACTGTTATTACCTGACCCCTGCTTAAAGTTATTAGATCTGTTACTCAACCCTGTTTCACTGGTTAAACATGAACGAGAGCACTCAGCCCCCCACCCTTTCACCTTTCCTGTCTGCCAGTCAACGTGAGGGTTGTGTTTAACAAGCCAAGGGTACCCCAAAATGAGAGGATGTTGAGCAGAGTTAAATAAATGAAAACTAATTTGCTCTCGATGTTCCTGATCTACGACTAATACCATGGGCTCAGTGCGATGAGTAACTGTACATAAAAGGCGGCCGTCCAAAGCACTAGCCTCTAAGGGCTGATCTAAAAGTACAACCTTTAAATTCAAACTTTTTGCAGTCTAACAAACTCTCATCAGCCCCAGAATCGACTAATGCATCCTGAGTCATAGTCTTATCCCCAAGCTTGATTCGTACCTGCATTAATTTTCTGACTGGAGAGTCGATGGAAGTCACTCGGCTCACCAGCGTCTTCCTTCCTGCTGATGAGCCTGATCTTTTGCCGAACAGGCTGCCGAAACATGACCCTGCTGGCCGCAGTAGAAGCACCGCCGCTCCCGTAGACGGCGCTGACGCTCCTCCGGCGTGAGTCTGGCTCTTCCGAGCTGCATCTGTTCCTCCGCGGCGATAGGAGGCGCTGGTCGCTCTGGAGATGAAGTCTGGGAATTCCTCTGCCAAGTGTAGTATTCCCTCGGTAACTCCCGTCTGAAAGGTGGAGTGGATACTGCATTCCTTCCCTTTTCCCGCTGTCTATCAGCTAGACTTGATCAACCCGGATAGCCTTGGCGATGAGCGAGTCCAAATCTTCAGGCAGCTGTAATGGAGCTAACTGATCCTTTATGGGATCCGCTAACCCATGCAGGAAAGCATCAAAGAGAGCCGCCGAGTTCCACCCACTCTCCGCTGCCAGAGTACGGAAATCAATTGCGTAATCCGCCACTCTCCTCTGCCGCTGCTTAATGTTCACCAGGGCTCTCGCTGACTCTCTCCCGGGTGATATCTGATCAAAGATCTTGCTCATGGTATCCAAGAACAGTCTTAATGACTGACAAACAGGCGAGTACCGGGACCACTCCGCTGTTGCCCAGGCTTCCGCTCTACCCGTCAGATGAGAGACAATAAAAGCTACTTTAGCTTGATCGGTGGGAAATGCTGCGGGCTGGTGTTTGAAGTGGAGATCGCACTGTACCAGGAAGGGACGACAGTTTCCAGAGTCTCCGGAGAATTTCTCCGGTGAAGCGAGACGGATCGTAGGCGACTGCATGGGTACTTGAACGGGGATATCAGCAGACCCGACCCCCGCTGAACCGGAAAACTCTGCCGCAGGAACACCAGGGTTTGCCACGAGGTGAGTCAGTATGTCACGCATCTTTTCAGCCAGTAGATTTATTTCTGTCGTCACCGTAGCTTGAAAGTTGTCTTGACGAGCATGTAAATCCTGGACCCCTTGGTTGATTGCTGACAGCTGTCCCTCATGTTGATGAAGGCGTGTACCCTGCGCCTGCAGGGCCGTTCTTACTGTAGTAGAATCGGCTGAGTCCATCTTGTTTGGTTGGTTCGTTCTGACACGAAGGGCTCTTTAAGAACTCAGATGCTCGATTCCGTTGCTTTGTAATATTCTTTATTATAAAGATCACAAAGCTTTTCAAAGTCTTCTAGGATCTACTAGGACATTCCAAAGAATCCTTAGGTTCGACTAGGTATTTACAACAGGTCTCTGGTAACAGGCATGGATCTCATGAAGAGACAAGACGAACCAACACAAGACAAAGGGAGAGAAGGACTATATATACACACACACACACATTAGGTAATGAGGCACAGGTGGACACAATCAGGGGCGGGAACAACAATCAGTCTGACCGGTGACACACAAAGACAGGAAGTGCAGACACCTGGAAAGATAGAGCAGAGTCATGTCAAAATAAGATAGATAGACAAACACTAAAACCTTACAACAACACATTGCACAACCTTTTGCAAATGGCCATGTGCACCAACAGACATTGGACATATTGGACACCTGCATTTTTGACAGTCCTATCAATGTACAGTACTTTTTTTGTTGGATTGAAGAAGAAATACTTTCTTGTATTATTCTGAAAACCTTTTTTCTGTACAGATTTGTGTGATATCAAGTAGATCAGAACTTTGTAACTTGTCTCTGATTGATCTGACTAAGCTCTTTTTTCCCCCATAGATTTCTTGACCATTGCAACAATATTGGGAACTGGAATCTTAGGTGAGTAATTCTATCTTCATAATTAAGATACAGATATAACAAACATCAACTATGAGTCCAATAACCTCGACATCAAAGTCATAGCTACTAAACTTCTAGATATCACTTGTTGCACACCACCAATTTCACCATGTAGCAATTATAATTCCAGGAAAACATTGCCTACATTATAGTTTGATTAAGGGAACACACATCTGATCACACTTAAGGATGAAAAAAAAAACTTTATGATGAGTTTGGTCTGTGGAAGACAAAGACCAGTCTACTCTCCTCACATCTGATATGATCGGATTGGGGATTGCTTTGAAGGGGTTTAGTAAATGTGAAAATCGGTTGGATATTGGAAACATTCTGACAAGAGACAGATTACATCAAATTGAGCAACCAAACCTTTTGGCACACTCTTCCCAAAGAGTGTTGGATAGGACCAAATAACTGGCAAACACCACTATATCATTCTGTCTAATTTCTCCATCAACACCCACTACATCCTGAAAATGTCCTTCAAAAAATAGGTTTCACACAAACACTTGGCATGTATGACTCAACTTATGATGGTAACAACTTTTGTGAGCTATATTCTCTCTCTACGACACTGCCTTTTTATCATATCAGTTCATTTGGAACGTAATTAAGACTCTGTCCATCTCTTGGCTTTCATTGGCAGAGCAAACTTAACGGTGGTTTATGAAGTGTATTTAACACCTGAGAGTTTTTTTTAGTCAAGGTGGAAATTACATGGCACATTACATTTAACTAGTTTGTTTTTTAGCGGGGTCTTCATGTAGTTCCAGAAAGGTGGAGCCCTTCCCAGTTAGTACTTGTTCAAACACTTAAACCTCATATTGTAATCAGCACTTACCATAAAATGTTATGGTAAGTTTGAGCAAGAGCGGAAAGAAGCATGTATGAGAGAGAATGATGAGCTGTTAAATTGTCACAAGGGCAGGTGGATGGGCTGACAAAACATAGACGTCATTAAATCTACTGAGGTGGGGGTCAAATTCAAAAACATTTCTTCAATTTCTAGGTCTTCCAGTAACGATATCCCATGCTGGACTGGTGCCTTTCCTCTTCTCTTTTCTCGTTGGCTTCTTTGTCCAGGTAAGTAATACATGAACTCAATGGACGCTTCTTTTCTTAAAAGACTGGCATGGTCTATGGAAATGTAGATACTGACACAAAGGAGTCGTAACAGTTTGAAAAGGAGATCCTGGATGAGGAATTATCATAGGTAGTATCTATTATAATGAATACAACTCACTAGCTTTTAGAAAGTAAGACTTCTAGAACTCTTAATGCATTGACAAGAAGAGATCGCACAAATTAGATGTTAACATTTTGGTTTAAAATGGGAGAATCGACAAGGAAAAGGTTACATGTTTGGAATACGTACTGCATTTGACCTCATAAAGTCTGACTTTACGGCTACAACACAGTATCCGATTAAGTCAAATCTAACAATAACAGAGCTATACTAAGAAAACTGTGACGATGAAACAGAATGTTATAGACAGAGGCTACTAATCATGTTCTCTTTCAGTGTCTGAAGAGGCTTTGGTGGCTTTGTTGTGATCAGGATTTCTTAAAAGAAAATAAAGGGGAACCTCCTCTGCTTTTTTGGGTTTTCCCAGTTCATTCTGGAGGTCTCCTATTCAATGTCTATAAAGCAGCTCCAGAGGTTATAATGCATGACATCACCAGTTAAAGACTCAAAACCCCATAAGCTCATGTTCATGAATATTGATTGAACGTTAAAAAACAGGAGTTCTTAATTTGGGTGACGTTCCCCTTTAAAGAGGCCCTATTGTGCTTTTTGGGGAAATGCTTTCCTGTAGTGTGTTATATAGGTTTTTGTGCATGTAAATGGTCTGCAAAGGCTAAAATCCGCACAGGCAGTATGAGAAAGATAAAGAGCTTTTTGAACACTAAAACATGGAGACATGTCATGAGAGGCTCGAAATACAAATATGTGACCCGCTCTATCGAAATCAGTTGGATGTCGCAACGGCTCATTTCAAAATAAACGTGGATTTGCGTAAAAAAATTGTTTTTCGGGGTTCGGGTGTTTTGTTTGATTTTAAATAAACAAAGTCTTGGCTTTCAGAATATGAAACTTTTATTTCCAAAATCACAAGATAAATACATTTTTGAAGCTTGTAAAGGGAAGATGACAGGCACCTCTCGCTCGCAATCTGCTCTTCCTCAGCGCAGCTCCCCCTCCCTCCGGCTGAAATTATGAATGTAAGGCATATAGTAATCATAGATAACACGGCAGGGTCCGTTACAGTTTGTTTTCATCTGATTTCAAATAAACAAAGTCTTGGCTTTCAGAATATTAAACTTGTTTCGGCAAATTTAGATGATAAATACAACTATGAAGCTTGTAACGGCATAATTACAAACGGAGAACGGAGTAACTTAACGTCACAGCAGGCATAACAACAGCCAGTGTTTCTCCGGGAAACAAACAAACACAATATACACAAACGCAAAAATACACAAACACACACACACACATTCACACACACACTCGCGAGCTTCCCCCAGACCAGTAATCCAAACGAAAATATTTTCCCTCTGGACTATTTTGATCATTTGCTCCGCTAATAATCAATCAGATCGATGGATTCCAGAGAAGAGGAAACTTTGAAGGCCTTTTTCTCAAAATGATGACTCGGTGACAGTCATTATATAATGTGACATATTTTGCTTAATATTTGGAGTACAAAAACAATCTTGATATCATTAGAAAGCTAGGAATCTCCTCTTTCCAACAGTGTATACAACTCAAAATGTGTCTTTGGGTCAATGCGACCGATTTCGATAGAGCAGGTCACATATGAACCTGAAAATGAGCATGATATGTCCCTAATACATACGTAATACAAACCTGAAATAATGGCATACCTTGGCCAAAGATCCAATTCTTGCCCCAAAATACAATATATTCTCCTCTTTTTCATATGAATGGGGACATAATACATTTGTTAGAGCCAATTCATTGCCTGAACACAAGCTCTTCAAATGCTCCAATCCACACTTAAACAAGAAAATGCTCCCTGCTCTAACATGACTTGGAAAGGATAAATCATTTCTATAAAGGGAGCTATTACCTTCCGTACAAATATGTGATTGTCTTCTTAAATGTCCACAAAATAATTATTGCATTGGCAAAACAACACCGTCAAACAGCACATTGGTTCAGATTCAAACGCTCCTATTGCAGGCAGAATTATGGATATTCACATCCAATTGATATTCTTTTGTGTCAAAGGCTTCGTACTCGTTCTATCTTCCCTGACATTTATGGGAGATTATTGTCACTGAAAGTTATGTTGGAGCCATAATGACATGGTTTGAATGTGGATTTTTAACATAAGTGTTTTATTTCCTGACAGCCAAAGCTAATAACATAAGCTGTATTTATTGATATTCCTTCTGTTTTGTGTCATGTCATGTGTTTTATACTCTGCATTTCTGAGAGATCCTACAATGTGTAATGGGACAGGTGTTTGCCATCACCAGTCCTCACAATGACACACAATATACAGCTGTTGGATTTCTGTCAGACATCATTCCCACTTCAGGGCGCTCTAAACAATATATATAAAGACATTTGGAGGAAGCTGGGTTATTGGGAACATGAGAGTACACAGGTACAGACAGAGAGAAGGAAGAAGTAAGGTGTGCCCCGACAGTCTAAGCCTATAGCAGCAAAACTAGGGGCTGAATCTAATCAGCCCTAACTATAAGCTTTATCAAAAAGGAAGGTTTTAAGCGCACTCTTAAAAACGGATAGGGTGTCTGCCGCCCGAACACAAACTGGAAGCTGATTCCACAAAAGTGGAGCTTGATAAGAAAAGGCTCTGGCTCCCATTGTACTTTTAGAGACTCTAGGAACAACCAACAACCCTGCATTCTTGGAACGCAATGCCCTAGTAGGACAGTAGGGTATAATGAGTTCTTTAAGGTAAGATGGCGCCTGCCCATTAAGGTCTTTGTAGGCGAGAAGAAGAATTTTAAATGCTATCCTGTGTTCTATAGGGAGCCAGTGTAAGTCAGCCAGAACAGGAGTAATGTGGTCCCTTTTCCTAACTCTGGTTAGTACCCATGCTGCAGCATTTTGAATCAGCTGAAGCGACTTAACTGACTTCTTGGTACACCCTGATAATAAAGAGTTACAATAATCCAGCCTTGAAGTAACAAATGCATGGACTAGTTTCTCTGCATTATTGGAAGAGTCAAGAAGGAATAGTATAATTAAAATACTTGAACAGTTTTTTCTATTTTCCTCACCTGTTGTTTTTTAACTACTGGTTAATTTTTCACAGTTTTAAAAATGTCAGGTTTCATTTAAATATAAAGAACATTAGTTGTAAATTAAGTGTTGCAGTAATGATTTAAATCAATCAAAAAAGAATTATGAGTGACATGTCCTTCAGTTAAATCTGCACAGCTAAATCATACACAACAGCATAGAGACATGTTTTGACACGTTGAATTCTAGCTGATCTAGTTTCTCATGTAAGATAATAGAACATAATTAAACCATACATGGTGATCACAGATAGCATACATAGTATTTTAATAAGCTTCCCTGTCATTCACAGGAGTATGAATAGATTGATTTGTTAAAATGTTCAAATGGTATGGACTCCAAAGGGCTGCAAGTGTTTTTATGACTTAAACTTGAACACATTTTCAAATTGGTAATATATATTTTCTGTTCTCTTTCATGTAGGCTTTGCTTATCTACCTGTTTGTGGAACTGCTTCAGAAATGTCAAGTGGTGCAGCTAGAGTCTCTAAAGGTAAGCAGCTCAACAAAACCCATATCTGCATTTAAAGGGGCCCTATTATGCTTTTTGGGGGTTTTCTTGTAGTGTGTGATGAAGGTGATAACAACATTATGAAACTCTCACACTTTCATTTTTTGTAAAAGTAAAAGAAAATGGTTATGTCATATGCTAAGGGCGGGACATCTATACATGTAAGTGGTTGACCAATCACAACAGAAAACTCAAATGAACCTTAAAATGACCATAATGTGTCCTCTTTAACTTGTGTTGTCATGCTCAGTTTTTTTTACTTGCACAGAATTTTTGTTTATATTTACAGCAAAAAAAATTAAAATAATTAATTTGAATTTGGGTACAATTTGCACTGTTCAGGAACCTGCCATCTAAGTGTTTCATACATTACATAATTACACCGTATGTTATGACAATAAACCTTTGAATCTCAATGAACTTACAATGCATTAACAGCTTAAATTGTTCTCGCTTATACTTCTCATAATCAAGCTAAACATTATAATGTATATTAGTCACACATGTTGAAGAACTGTTTATATTTGTTTAGTCGGCTGAATGTGTGTCTGTTGCTCTCAGACAGGAGTAGCAGAGTGTATTGTGATGGATCCGGTGGGGGGGGGAAGCAGCCGGCACAGAGGAAGAGGACGACGATGATAGTGAAAATGCACAAGCAGGTAAAATAAAGGTTCCTATTAAATATGATAAATCTAGAGGATTTTTTTTCTGTTCATTCCAGTTACATCCTAAGTTGAACGATATCTCTAAGTTTCATTTCATTTCATTTCATTTTTATTTGTCCCGCTCATGGTACGCAAAACCCAATGTACAATAATTGCCAACAAAACATGTCTCTACAAACACACCATTGAGCGAAAAGGAGCAGGGAGAAGAAAAAAAATCTTATATGACCTGCCCCTTTCTAAAAAAATAAAAATAAATAGAAATAGATGGTCTGCCCTTCATAATAATTTTTTTTTTTTTTTTTTTCTTTTTTTCACAGTCAAACATAACAGTATCTTAGGATACTAAGAGAAACACAACAAATACTTATTTCCCACTTGACGGTTAACGGAAAGAAACAAAACAACAACAAAAGTTAAAACAACAGTGACATTTGCCACAACTGCGCTTTCTTTGATACACCACTGTATATATTGTAATATACATGTTATATGTGTATACAGTATATAGTACAATGCGCACATTTCACTTTAACTTCTTATGTTTATACAGTATACATGTTTTTCATAGGACATTTTGATTTATTAACTTTATTTAACTTCATGTAAATAATTGTATTTATCTTTATTTAATTTTTAACTTTCATTCACAATGTTTATATAAATATTTAGATTTAGATTTGATCTTTCTATTGCACATTCCTACTTTAACTACTGTTTATATAAATATTTTGATTCTTTTTTGTTCAATTGAATAGGGAGCAATTGTCACAAAACTAAAGTCCCTTCAGGATGAATAAAGTATTTCTGTATTTCATTTCATTAATTGGCTCATGGAATTAGTCTAATAAATACATAATAGATAAAAGTGCATTGGAGAAGTCATGTTTATCTTTATTCTAAGTTTCTATATCGTATTCAGAATTAAACGTAATCATCTTAGTCGACTGGACCACTCATCAGAGGCTACTTCCTGTCCCATTTAAAGTCCATCCCAAAATAAAACTGTGTCCAGCTGTCAATAATTGTTTACTTTGAGATTACAAATCATACGTTCACATCATCTATCCCTACAGTTTTATCTAAGAGGGTGGAGAGGCGTTATAATTTATTTCTAGCAAGCAGTTTAAAAACAATTATCATGAATCAAGTTCTGATGCAAATGTCCACAGGACTGTAACACTGTATTGAGCTGCAGCATCATATTGCACCATAAGCTTCTGCATCAGGCCCGGCTGATTTGAATTATATTGATCTGTTAACTGGCTGTTCGGATCACTGATTGCATCGTGAGACATTCATCAAATGGATCTCTGTTGGGGTGATACACACACCTATACATTCATTAACGCATCTATAAAAGTCTACTTCACCAGCGTCTTTTGGAAACATCCTGGAAGAGAATACTGTGGCGAGAAGTTATTGCTATTGCCTATTATTTGATCATATTTAAGTAAGAGGCCCCTGTATTTTTCAATCATGCAAAGCAATATGTTTACCCTGTTTACTTGTCCGGATATATTCAGGAAAAATGTATTTGCACAGCAGTCAGCACAACTATAGACTGATATCCTCACTGCTGCGATACACTTATATCCAATCCCAACTTCTTTGCAATTTTTTGTCTGCTTTGAATGGAATTAAATCAATTAATGTGCAACTGTGCAATCCCTTCTTTATGTGGTAACAACAAGGCACTAATGTGCAGCAAGATGGTCATTAATGAATAAATAACCGCGACAGGGTGAGAAGGATCTTAACCCAAAGTGGAGAGATCCTGAATCACCCTGTCGGTGTCATGTATGATGACTTCGCTACACATTATCCCGCTTATTGCACGGCTACCTACTAAATAAATCATCAACTTGATTGGTAATATTGATTACAAATTATTTTTTGATTAAAAATGATCGTATTGCTTCCGCTTGGAGAAAATAGTCCGTTCCACTGAGTACCAACGGCTGGAACTGCGTCGACAGCAGCATAACTTAAAATGACGGCAGCACTGAACGAGGTTTTCTGTAACTGTCCAAGTCTGTTCTGTTTCTTTTCCATTAACCATTCTTTAAACACTGCAGAGCCCATACTGTGTTCCTGTTGGTGTTTACTTCCTGTCTGTCTTCTTTGGTTGATTTCTCTGACATCCAGCGGTCATTCTTTTAACCTTTTTCCTTCTTTTGCCCTATTTTTCTTTACTTTACTAGGGACGGTTTAGCCTTCATTGTATAGTACTTTTTACTACACTGCATTAATCTAACAAATAATCATTCACTAGTATCTTTGTAGATTAATATTTTACATATTGAACAGGTGGTCACGATTTAACTATTAATGGCTTAACAATAAAGAGCATTGAAATGCCTAATTGAAACGTACGCAGTAAATCCCAAAAGTATCAATATATTTTTACTAAAAATACAAATTTCTGATACCACGTTTTTACTTAGTAAAGTTAAAATGGAGTAAAATATCGGAATATTACTTCCCCGAATGCTTTTACATTCTTTATAAGTAGGATTTGTGTGTCTAGTAAAAGAAGCTTTCGTTGTCTAATCAAAAGAGACAAAACACTCCTTACCTATAAAAGCTGCATGTGCATGCTGAGCAGTGTCTGGGTTAGAGGGGTGGCGCCTACGTTATTTAAACTCAAAGCCGGCGCAGATGGTGTGTCAATGCACCACTCTGGCATCACAGACTTCTGCATTGCCATTAATTTAACATGCTTGTTTTGACTATCATGTTTAATAATGAACACTCTGCCAGGACCACTCACATCAAAGTTATTGCACCATAAACAGGCAGTATAATAATGATGAGATGTGAGCTTCTGTCCATGAAGCATGCACAGTAGCTCAAACTGACAAAAGCAGCGATAGACTTTCAGACAAGAGAACTCTGAGAGCTCGGACTTCCACCAAGGCTCGTGGTGCATTCACTTACTCCTTAGGTGGTCCCAATTCAAGGGTTAAAAACCTTTTTCCCACTTGGGTGTTTTCATGAGCTTTAAGTCTTAATGAGGGAACAACAAGAGCTCTACCAAGTGGATTGTTTTTATAATTTATATCCCAGTTGCAAATATATTTTTCTTTGAATACTCTAATGAATGCAGCACAAAATTCTCTATTTACAATTTGAACAAATGTAAAACAAATGGTGTTCCGTTCTGTGATTAGGATCTGCTCCAAAATGTTAATGTTCTTCCTTGGCCCATGCTTAACCCTTCTGTCGTGGCTCATTCATTTCCCCGTTCCGTGATCGAGACAAATGTGCCCGAGGCTCAGTCCCACCCTTCCTTTTATTTGATCATCTGATTGGTCACAATAAATCCAAACGAATCTCAGAATATTTAATTTACTACAAATTCATAAATCGAAAGAATATATTAAAGGTAGGGTAGGTAAGTTTGAGAAACCGACTCGAGATCGCTAGAATTTGAAAATACACAACCAGAGAAAATCTGCCACTTCCTTACAGAGCCCCTCCTCCAACACACACGAACGCGCACATGACCAATGAGGGCACGAGATAAGTTTGTGCACAGATGGAAGGCTGACAGGCAGGTAGGCCATCCAGTTATTTTAGCCGGGCCGGCTAAAATGATTGGTCGTGCTTTTTACAGTACTACGGCTTCCACAGATGACATTCTTTTATGGATTTTTTGTCAAAGCACTTAAGATATTCATTGCTATCGGGATGTTAAGAGCATTCCATGGAATATAACAAAAAGTGTATCTCGAGCCGGTTTCTCAAACTTACCTACCCCACCTTTAAGACCTAAATCAATTAGAAAATTATAATTTGTAATCAACACAAAAAAAGTCTCTAACACCTTCCATAAAGTTTCATGAAAATCGGGCCAGTAATTGTTCTGTATTCTCGCTGACACAGAGACAAACTGAGTGGAAAGCATACCCTCCTTGGCGGAGGTAATTACTAGTTTAAGCAGAGTATTAAAACAGTTATTGACATGATGGTGTCTAGATCTTGTTTCATTTATCATTTTGTAAAATGTTTCACCCGGTGTCATGACCGTTTGAACGTCCTTTCTTCGTGTTTTCCCACCTGTTGTGATCGTTTGCCCCACCCTAATTATTTCAACCTTTATGTCCTTTGTTTTGTATTCCCTTGCCTACTCCCCTTAGTTTTTTGTTTTCCATTGTTTTTGTTTAACTCTAATAACGCTTTAGTTTTGTTATTTATACCCACGTCCCAATTTGTTTCTGCGTATGGATTCTATTGCTATATATACCCCCCAACAGTTAAGCAAAACAAAAACGAGGAGGGAACAAGGAGTAATACAGATACAGAGACAGGAAACATGGACAAGACAGTGTTGTATACTGTAAAGACATAAACTGATCACATGGCAATACAAAGCTGGAGAGGGCAGGCAAAAACACAAGGGCAGCTGGGTGATTACACCGGGGCAGACAATCATAGAAGGCGGGACAAAGACAGGAAATAAGATCAGACATGACACAGGGGGAATAAACTTGACTTAATAAAAGGAAACACAAAAAAATACTTCATGGCTGTGAAGCTTTTGTTGTCGACAAGGAACTGTTACCATGGTTACTGATGGTCTGATTTTCAGTGATTTAACAGCCTTGTACATCTCTCTGTGTCTCAGATACAGGTTTACTGCAGCCCGATGCTGTGTCTCTGCACGACCAATCAGAAAGCCTGGAGCCCAACCTCCATCTGCTCGGCTACCTCTTCCTCTCCCGGCCAATGAGCCATGCCTTCAACTTCATCCTCCTCTTCCAGTTGTAAGTTACCATGGTGATGATGCAATATTTACCAAACTTACAAAAAAAACACATTAAGTGTAGGAGTGAGCATGTGGTCGGGGGTGATTTCCCCCTCTCTTCTGTCCATTTGTGTTAACTGCAACCTTAGTCATGACGCTGTGAGCGCTCTCACAAAGAAGCAGCTCCTATTTAAGATGTGCATCTATACAAAGGGTTGATAGCAATTGTCTCCAAACTGTTTAAACCTTTTCACCCTCAGTTCATTTCCACCTCTTCAAATTTAAATATCTAGTCCTCAGTGTGGGATGTGGAGACATCAAGAGGTCTTTTGGGAGGGCCAAGTGTTTAAAAATGTTTGGATGATAAAACTGAAATGCACCAATATTTTTTAATCTAACTCTTTTTTGACTCTTATTATGATTTACAAAGTTATTGTCTACGGTAAGAGATACTTAGCTTGGATAAAACACATTGTAAGAAAAACACATTCAGTACAGAAGTTGGAAATATCATGTGAAAAGCTCATTTCTTCCAGTGTACTGAGATCAATACTGACCCCTGACCTATACTGCCTCCATTAACCCCACATCCTAGCTTGTTACTCCTAGCATTTCAGTTTCTGAGTCAGAGACTCGTATATAAACCGACCTTGAGGTTCAGACTTAATATGTTTGGCTTCTGCTGCAGAGTGTTGAGATATACAGTTATGTGTCTGAGCCAATAACCGGTAACCTCCTTGCTGCTGCATCTGCAGCTCTCAGAGTTTTCAAGATCAACAACCTGTTTTTTGTCGCTGTTTTACGACCTTAATCAAAATACAAAAATTGTTAAAATTACCCTTTGCATTCTGAAACGGGTTGTTATATCTTAGGGTACACAATGGATCACTGCTGACATTGTTTTAGTTATAAACATACTAGAATTTACGACACGAGTCAATCTGACTTTTATTCCATTTGAGTGTTTCGTCAACTTATTGTGTTGCTTATACTGCATTTTTTGTGGGATAGAAGATATTATACATCCCCAAATCTACATAATTCAATGCGGTTATCCGGTTATTTTCATATCTTAATGACGTTGTGGTTTATTAAACGTTAAGCATGATCAACTGTGCAGAATTGATTTGTTGCGTCAAGTTCGCAACTTGTATCAGCTGACAAAAACAAAGAGCAGCAAGCACAGAGCAAAGAGAACCCTAGTGGAATGGAGGGGGGTTGTAACAGCTTGGTATGGTTGTGTATGAAAGTGTAAGTAAGTTGCCTCAGATATAAGTGTCAGCTAATTGACATAATGCGTCATCTCAATAGGCTCAGATCTCCGGACGATTCAAGTATTTTTGTTCTTGTTATAACTTGTTATAACTATATAACTATCATAGAAATAGAGCCCCACCTCCAACACTCTACCCAGTTGTCTTTGCACACCAATGGCAGACATGCACTTCACCGTTTTATCTGCAGCATGGTCATATCTTGTTATTTTTCACAATGGTACACTTATGTAGCTAAAACTGGTAAAGTCTTGTATCGCTTGTATGTTGTCCTTGCAGCACTGACAGGACTGTGTGTATTGTTGGTCCTGTCGGGCGCAGAGGAAGGGGACAGGATGTTAGCATGGCCGCTGGAGGGTCTTGTTATCAGTGTGCGAGCAGCTCTGTAACACCTGGCCGATCGATCGTTCCCTCATTGTGTTCAAGGAGGCTTAGTGGTCGATCAATGCCGAGGCTCGACTGCACGCACAGCCTCCGCACAAAACACGACCTGCTGCTTTTACCCTTGCCACTCCTTGGTCTTTATGAACTGCCCTACATGGTGCAGCCTTTGTAGAACACACATAATGACACACAGAGACATGCAAATACACATGCACACACACTGACAACTTGATAAATGCACAAAATTCAAGGTGACCATGCAATTTGCAGATAGAAAACACATGAAATGTAATAGTGTATTCTCAATACATAATATAACTGTGTATGTAAGTATAGGTATCATCTAAAAAATATTTTACAATGTAAAACATTTGAGTTTGAAGGATATACCTTCTCCAAATGAGTGGAAAACGTAGTAGAAACACACCCAAAGAAGAGACTAAATACATATCCTGCTTACTGAACTTTTGCCAAAGCTTCCTTTCATTTTCATGTACATGAAAAGAATATGAGTTCTCAGAAGAATTCTCAGATTCTCAAAGAGCAGAGCCGTTATCAACAAATATAACCAATTGCTGTAGAAGTCAATTTGTTGATGTCATTTTCTCTCTCTGAACACGGAGAATCTGTACTAAGAAGAATGTCCTTCTAGAGGTTCAACACCAACCTTTTTTCTAATCTATCACCCATCTGTATGTATTGCATTGATGGATTATTTGGAATTCAGTTCAGAGTCCTGCACAAGCCTGTAGTTGACCTTTATGTGCACATACACACACATGCAGGATTTGTCATGAAATGAAAGTGTGTATCAATCACTTTTGCGCTGCTATTCTTTCTACCTTCACATTTAGTATCAGGCTACAGTTCACATGTTTAAAGTGGCCCCATTATGCTTTAAGGCGTTCCCTTTCCTGTAGTGTGTTCTGTAGGTTTCTGTGCATGTAAAGGATATTAGGAGATGGAGTGACTTTATATCCAGATTAGCAGAAAACATGCCACTTATCCCTGATGATGTTATTTACATTTCAATATGTGGAGCCAATGTCTCAAGTTCTCCTTCCCTTGCTTTGGTAAATTACTCTACGTCAATAGACTTCAGGACTAGTGTGCACGAATCCTCCTTAATCTATTTGTATTTCCTTTAAAGATTCAAAAGGAAGCAGACTTAAAAGAGTGGGTGTAACTCGGCTGCTAATGGATTTGCACTCCCAACAACCAACTTTTGAGAGATTACAGAGGCTTAAAATCATAAGGAACAGAACAGATGTTGAGCTACAAAAACTTCTCTTGCCACTTTATTTTGAAACGTATACAAAAAAAAACGTATTTCTTATGCTCAGTTACTTTATGAAGGCAAAGCAAACAGATTCCTGGCTTGATATAAGTGTGTGATGCTTGAAGGAAGTACATATGCAATGTAGGCAACCACAACATTTTCCTTTAGTAGCCCCCAAAGGCAACTTCTGTTTTGAGCAAATCTCAAGTAGAGAAGATGTGTAGGATCAAGGCGCTGAGCTGCAAACTAGATATATTTTTTTTTAAATGCGTTCATAGCCTCAAGTGTTATGATGAAGCAACATACTAATGTTTAATTCAACAGGCTTAATAAAGCTTGTTCAACTTGGTTTTTAGAGAGCAGCAGGAGTTGATGACCGAGCACCTAACACCAGGGTAGGAATTTAGCGGCAGCCATGACGGCCACGTCAATAATCGTACGTCCTACGGCCACCATGGCCTTTGTGCCCCTCACACTGTTCAAATCTCGAAGTTGCTTTAAAAGCGTCAGAGCAGTGGTCTGGTCTCTGAACTGCATTATGCTGCGTTCACACGGACGCGATGCGAATATAATCGCTGGAGTTTCACCGCGGCTGTCAGCTGTGTTTACTCCTGTCATTCAAACAGGACGCGCTGGAGAGGGGGCGGGGCTTATATCCATGTAAATACTGTGGTAGAAGCCAACTACAACAAAATGAACATATTTTACCGTGATTTAATTGTAATACACGTTTCAAAATGATGCCGAAGTTACAAAATACTGATAACTGTTAGTAAAAACCATGAATTAATGCTTTGACAAGTGTGCAGACAAGACAGCAGGCGAAAAACCTTTTAAATGCGTGTTTTCTGAACTCACAACAACGTCCTAAAGACAGAAATAAAGCAGCGACTGTATTCGCCATGACACAGACAGTCTGTTTTGTTCATGTTTAACTTTTGTCCAGTTTCTGAACAGATATGAGGAGCTGTGAGCTCTGTGTGCTAACAGCTAACGACTGATGTTTTGGTTTTCTGATTCAACGTCAGTGACGGCAGGCTGAGATCCTCACCGCTGATTGGCTACCGCGAGAACGCGTCAGGCAAATTTGACGCTCGAGTTGAAAACATTTATTAAAGAGACATTATGTTAAAAGTGAAGTTATTTATTTGTAAGCTCCAAATCCGAATTTTTCCCTCAATGGCCTTTGTGGCCTGGCATGTGGCCTTTGTGCCCTAAAAGAATGTATGACACCAAAGGCCAAAAGGCCTTGCCCCTAAAATGACGAAATTCCAAGCTTGCCTAACACCCTCTCTCTATCTCCTTTTTCTTTCTCCAGTATTTCTATTGGGATCAGTTATGTGCTAGCTGGCAGTGAGGCCTACGCGGCTCTTTTTAATGTCAGGTAAGTCATCCACACACACACACACACACACACACACACACACACACACACACACACACACACACACACACACACACACACACACACACACACACACACACACAAACACACACACACACACACACACACACACACACACACACACACACAGAACCAAATAAATATTCCAGATAAAACACATATTAATATTTGTGATTTAGCTTAAATGATTGATATATTAATAAAAAAAGTTTAAATATCGGCACATTTGGACTAGTGTTGTTACTAATAACTAGGGATGTAACGATATATCGAATATCGCGATAAAAAAAAAAAACATTATAAAAAAAAAAATTAAACACATTTTTTTTTGTAAACCTTTATTCAACCAGGTGGTCCCATTGTAGTGTTGCACGGTGTACCGATACTTGAAAGGTACCGCGATACCCTGCCGTTAAAAACATTACGATTCCTCCGTTTCATTAGTATCGGTACTTTAAGAATGACGGGGAAAAGTACTCCGGTGAGAAAGCGCTATTTTAATAAGAGCCGTGTGTGTTCAGCGCTCTGCTTCCACTCCCTGCAGCCGTGCCTGCAGTCCCTCCCCTCTCAAGCACGCTCTAAGTGCCTCCCCTCTCTCATGCACGTGCTAGCTGCCAGAGCATGTGAGAAAACGAGAAGCATGGCTGCAAGTGGGAGTGCAACTGCCGCTGCGCCTCAGCTTGTTGACAAAAAAGACGCCAGAAGCGAAATTTGGAAGTATTTGAGCTATATCTCTGACAGTGAGGGCAAGCCTACGGACACCACGAGGCCTGTCTGTAAGACATGTTTTAGATCCCTGCAAACCAAGGGAGCCAACACATCAAACTTGGCTAAGCACCTTGCCGACCGGCATCCAGAGCTGTTTAAAGAATTTAAAGACAGACAGGTTAGCGAATGTGATAGATAACATAATTACATCATGCTCAAGCCCATGCTCTCAAATCTAAGTCAAACAAGTGTCATTTATTTTGTGACAAACGAACGTTTTCGTAGTTTGACGAGGCAATTAATGGCAATGATAACTGTCTAATATGGCTATCTTTTTAGCTAACTTACCAATGTGGCTAACATCGGCAATGTACATTTTGTCAATAATTATGTATATTACTGTACTATTACATGTTAATAAAATATAAAGTTAACTATCAAAGAAATCACATAAACTCAAGTATAAAGAAGAGACCATGTTGTAAGAAAACACTTAACAGATAAACTACAATTTTATTGATCATGAAAATAATAAAAGAAAAGTATCGAAAAAGAATCAGAATCGCAATTCTTGACTTGGTATCGGTATCGAAACCAAAATGTTGGTATCGTGACAACACTATCCCATTGAGATCATCGATCTCTTTTTCAAGAAAGACCTGTCCAACATGGCAGCAAGTAGGTTACAACATATACACATAAAACAACAGATAACACAAAAGGACATCGTATTTACAGGGCTACATTTACATATCTAGAGACACAAGTACCAACAGCAGTGGCGAGCCGTGACTTTTATACCTAGGCCCTCTGACCCTATCGATTAGATTTATGATTCGAAAATAATAAAAGTAAGGTAGACATGTGGATATTATCCGGCTGAACAAAACGTGCATTTATCTAACTGGTTCGTTTTCCACAGACCTTATTTCGAGCTATTACATCCATGAGAAATCCCATTGCTTTTCTGTCGAGGGAACCCGAGCGCAGCTTACTTCCGGGTTTTAGGACACGTCACTGCACCACTTGCATAAACCTCACAGTGGGCGGAACTTGTCATAAAGTCCGCGAAAATAAAGCCCACCCATTTAGAGGGAGGATATGATTGGTCAATTGTACTGTCATTTGACATTACTCTCTCATTGAGTTACTATAGCTGGCCCTCTGTGAATGTACAGAGGGACCAACAAGCTCTCCCGTCTTCACAGTAACTCGCAGAGACGGCATTTAACCCTTCACATTCCAACAGAAACTGAACAGGCAGATTCGGAGGATTTATTTCTTTGGAAATGTTATTTTAAATACAATTAAATCAAGTTATTTTGGTAAAACTAATGAAAAATGTAACAAAAAAAATGTATTAAAAAAAATATATATTTTTTTAATGTTTTCAATTATTATTTTTTAGAATATCTTAGGCCCTCACAGAGGGCCCTGACAGCTCGCCACTGACCAACAGTATATGTATATCTCGCCCTGTCAATAAGCCTCACCTTCTTGGCAAAAACTGTATTGTTTTTGAAGTGGTGGAGAGACAATGCACAGTTGTACCCACTCCTGTCACCCATGGACAAAGCATATCTCTCTGTCCCAGCAACATCAGTACCAAGCAAGAGAGTTTTTTCCACAGCAGGGGATATTGTAAACGCCCAAACATCCCAGCTTCTACCTGGAAATGTGGGCATGCTCATATTCCTAAAAACCTGTCTGCTGATGCTGAGTGAGTGAGTTAGTGAGTTTGAGTTGAGTTACTTGAAAAACAAAACAAAAAAGTGAAACTTGATTTATTTTATTGCAGGGTCTGATTATTATATTGTTGACACTTTAAAATACTACTAAAATGCTGTACAAATCAGATTTATTATTCAATAAAGAAAAAAAAATTCAAGTAAAAAAAAAAAAAAAAGTCAAAAGAAAATGTAAAAAAAAAGAAAATTTCACAATTTTTTATCTTCTTTATTTTTCAATATCGCGATAAATATTGTACCGTGGACTTTTTATCGCGATATTATCGTACCGTGAGTTTTTGGTATCGTTACATCCCTACTAATAACTCATTATCTATTGAATAATCCCAACTGAATTGATTTTTGTGATTAATTTCCCACCACATCTAATAAGCTGATTGCTAAAGTTCATTTTATTTAGAAAAACTGAACATCATTAATCATCATGATGCAGCACAAAACAAAATGTAAAAAAAGGTTTAAACTCATCATGATAGAGAATAATACAAATAAAAAATGTATTTATTTTAAAAAGTTATTATTTAAATCAGTAATGCAACTCCAATAGAAATACAAGTTTCTATAAACACCCTCAATGACCCTTAAGTAAAAACATGAGAAAGAGAAGATGTAAATGAATATAGCAGCATAAATTCAACATGCAACAATAAAACTAGGTCATATTACCCACTATATGTTCTTTTAACTTACACATTACATTTTATTTGAACTAAATTAAAATGTTCTCATAGGGCAACATTTGACCCAGCATTGAGTCACCAGTTGATACTGCAGTGATGATGATCAGTGATGTGGAGAATTGATTGAATCACAAATTATCTTTGGCCCAGAACAGAACAGCCAGAATTGTTGGCAATGAACCATGATATTAAGCGTAATAAGTTACATATCTCTCACCAGCGATATAAAAGTCATTTTAACCTCATAAAGTCAATGGATGTCAAAAATGATAAGTTTCAGCCGAATGCAGGTAATTTGACTAGGATCATAGATTAATAGATTGGGGACTGCAGTAGCTCAGTCTGTGGGGAGTTGGCTTGGGAACAAAAACCAAGTCCTACCACTGCAAACCGGTTTAAATCGCAGGCTAAACCTAACCTCAGACACAATAGTATAGGACCTGTGCATGTGTGTAGTTGTGTGTTGTATACACAGGACTAACAAAGTGAACAACTGAATTTCCTGAATTTTTATAAATTGGATTCTTCTTCTTTATCCTGCTCTCCAATCATCCTGACACTTGGACCAGAACAGAACTGTCTTTTGGAAACCCTGTTGATGTTCTTTAACCTCACGCTGTACTGGATAATGAAGAAATTATTCATTAAAATGACACAAAAAGAGGCTGGGATGAATAGATGCTGGTGAATTCAGGCCAAACAGGTGGTCAATGCTAGTCCATTCATTAAGAAAATGAAACGCTGAAGCTTCATCTGATTCTTAGATTGGTTACAGTAAAGCCACTGACAACTTCTAAGTACTTACAGAATTTGAAGTTGGATATGAAGGCTATTCTTACCACACTGCCAAAATGCCAGATAGTTGTCTAATTGGATGGACAAACCGAAGAGGAGGCAGGCGTGGGCTGTGTTTCTACAGAATCATGCCTCAGAACTGCAATTAGACTTGTATCCACACCTGGCCTGTACACTTCTCCTAAACCCACACCAAAACCTCAATCTCCATGGCAACCCAGGCTGTCAACGTTGGTTCATGAAAACTGTAGGAATGGTCAATGGAAGATTTATAAAAACGGATAAGTCAAATCAAGCAATCTGATTGGTTCTTAGCCGTGATATAATGAGCGTATATCACGAGTAGAATTGTAGTTACTTTTCACAAGTCAGTATCCCTCCGCGTCTGAGAAAAAGCTACAACCGTTACAACTGTTACATTACGTCCTTTACGGAACTAACTAACTAACTAACAAAGCTTAAGATGGAAACATTTAAGGTTAACTTCGACCTCCGGGGTGGCCTTACTATGGAGGAGTGGATTGAGCAGTGCCTATCTCCAGAAAAAAAAGCACCTAAACAACGACATGCAGAGCTACGTGAAGAGCAGGTAGACCAACTGGAAAAGTACCACCATTCAAAAGCTTTCTGATGCGGGTCTTGAAACAAAGCAGAGAAATGATGACCGTTAGTCTAATATGTTCGCTAGCTGTTAGTGTTGTTGCATAGCAGCAGAGATCATATGTCCTGTGGTTCACACATTATACAGAGGGCAATCACAACGAGTCTCTGTGACAGCAGCTATTACAACCTTTAGCTAGGTTTCAGATATATGAGTCAATTATTTAGAAATTATGTAATAATATTACATTAGTTAATTATACAAAGTTAATTATATAACCAGTTTTTCATGCATTTCTTCATCACAACACCACACATGTATTTGTGTTATCCCCCCTGAAAATACAATTAAATACTTGCCGTACGTATCAAGCTTGACATAACTGTTTTCCATAAAGTACCATAGGAGGAGATGTGTGGGACTCTTGTGTAAAAGTGTCAGTTTCAT